ATCCAGTCAGTGTGTTTGTGTTTCCACAGTGTTTGTTCTGAGCTGCAGTGGAGCCTCAGTAACTGAAAGAGGGAGTTTAGTTCTCAACAGTCTGTAACTTTGTTGGATGCACAGTTGATCAGTCAGAAGCCGAAGCTCATGACATCATTCCTAACAGTAGAGGTGTGTTAGGAAGAGACCATTGACAGTCAGTGGGGACAGCAGGAATCAGATTTCCTCTGTAATTTACAGATGACAAGTGCCTGTTGTTTGGAGACACACTTGAACATTTTTGCCGACAAAACTACGGAGGGAGGCTTCCATAGTTCTGGTACAATCCACTCACCCTACAGGGTTTTGGCCTTGCCAGTCCTGTGTAATGCCACTAGGGGTTGCCATTGGTTCTTGTTTCTCTGAATAGATTTTCATTAGTTCATCCATTCATTCCCTTACCACTTCCCCTCTACTTCTCAGTGCCATTAACCCCTCCAGAGCTCCCTTTTTCCTCACCTCATCTGCATATCTTGTCAAATGAAGCATTTTTATATCATTTTGGTTTGCTGTGTTTCTCTGTCTGCTCCTGGACTTCTGACTCCTCGTGACAGGATAGTTTGCAGTGAAACTTGAGCTTTTGCAGTCTTTGTCACATTCTAACTGTAGTTTGTAGCAAAGAAAAATCCAACAGGCACTGAACAATAATGTCGAGAGCTGACGTCTCAATAATTCTTGTAAAAGATCATTTCTTTTACATTTTTATATCACACATAAGTTAAAATCTCATTTTAATCAAATCATGATAACAGAAAGTGATTAAAATCAGGATAAAGCCTGACACCAGATTCAAACAGGATGCATCCAGCTGTTGTGGCATCAAATGCATGAAGGAAATACAAAGTGACCTCTTTCATTAAAACATATTTTGTCGTATGTGTGTCATGACAGACTTTCTAACTGTGGACTCTCAGCAAGACACTGTGAAATCGTTGCCTCAGCTCTGAAGTCTGACTCCTCCTATCTGACTGAACTGGACCTGAGCTTTAACATCCTGCAGGATTCAGGAGTGAAGCATCTTTCTGCTGGACTGCAGAGTCCAAACTGTAAACTGGAGACTCTCAGGTCAGTTCACTGACTGGTTTCAATGTATTCAATTCAAATCCTGATTTCTGGTTCATCCTTTTTTCAGATATTTTCTGAAAACAATATGAAGATATTTCAGGTTGTTGAACTGTGAAGAAATCCCCTGATAACCTGACTGCAGGGTCACATGATGGAGGACAGAATCCACAGTCCTGCTGTGTGTCTGAATGTAAAGCTGATGTGAAAGTGATGTGAGGCTTCAGCAGTCTGAGTTCCACACATCCAATCCAGATGTTGATCCTGTAATGAGAGAGTGGACTGAGATCAGCAGCAGGTTGTTGATGTGTGTTAGTTAAATAAATCCTTTTGAACACTTAACCTGCCTGTCTGCCAGATCCATGTCCACACCTGGGTTCCCCGACCTGTTGGAACAAAATGTTGAGCTGCACGTTCAGAACCTGAACACATCTGATTGGATCGTCAATCATTTTATCTGCATCTTTTGTTCTTTATTCAGATTGGAGCGCTGCTTTTTTTCAGAGATCAGCTGTGATTCTCTGGTCTCAGCTCTGAAGTCCAACCCCTCCCATCTGAAACATTTGGACCTGAGTCAGAACAACCTGCAGGATTCAGGAATGAAGCATCTGTGTGGTTTTCTGGAGAGTCCACACTGCAGCCTGCAGACTCTGAGGTCAGACGTGTTATTTGTGTGCTGAGATAAATATGATGTAAAGTTGAAGTGACACTAAACTGCAGCCATCAGGCTGATATGAAACTGATCCACACTGAGGAGCTTCACGGTCACGTCTGTTTCCTTTGTCACTGCTTTAGTCCTATGACTGCTAGAGAAATGTTGAGCTTCAAATTTTAAAGCTCAATAAAACAAAAAAAATCCTCCACTGAAAATTCACTGTGAACCTCTGACACACGTGATCTTCACCTCATATTTGACCTCGCATTTTGCTTCAGTTCAACCTGAAAGCAACAACTAAATGTTGTTTTTCATTATTGATAAAACTGTCAGTTAATTTAGTAGCTCAGTTTATTAAATGTTTAACTGTGAAAAATGTTGATCCCAGAGTTCAGGGTGACGTCTTCAAATGTCTGGTTTTGTTCGAGCAACAGTCCAAAACCTAAACATATTCAGTTTAGTGTGATAGAAAACAGAAATTCTTCACAGTGGACAAACTGGAACCAGTTTGATGTTTTTGCTCAATAATTGACTCCAACCATCACAGAGATGTTTTAATGTATTGTCTGTGGACTCATCAAAAAGTGGACTGATAGTTTAATCTGTAATTCAACCTGTTTTTCCGCCTGTGAGACAGAAACTAATGTTTAGCATCTGCTGGTTCCAACACTTGGATGAAGCAATGTGATGTTTTTAAAAGTTAAATGTTCAAATCCATGATGCCACAATTTCATTTTACTGCTGATCAAATGTGAAGCTCATCCATCAATTCTTCAATCAGCAGAAAATTCAGCAGCAAGATTTGTGACAACTGATGAATCATTGAAGTCATTTATCAGGGAGTAATGGGAACATTTTCAGCTCTAGTTTCTACTAATTTTCTTCTTTTCTCTGGTTTCTGTCACTTGAAAGTGAAGATGTTTGTTCTTTAGAGTGTTGCTGAGGAAATACTTTGAAGTCGTCACCTTGTCCTCTGAAAACTGTGATGGACACTTTTCACTATAAATGACAGATGGATCAGTGATGAAATGCATTTAAATGTTGAGTCCGGATTGAAACGTCTCCATGGTTCCACAACATGAACATATTTTAGAGTCTGGAGCCTCAGTTTGTTCACGTTTCCTCATTCTGTGTTTTTCTGACTCTGAGCAGAAAGTGAAATAAATGTCAGTGTGTGTTTTCATTGTGTTTGTTGCTCAGCATGAGTTTGTGTTGATGGAGCCACTGGTGGAGCTGCAGAGTTTCAGAGCTGAAGTCACTGCATCTTTATTGAAGCAGCAGCATGTTGTCATTAACATTCCTGAAAGCTCTTCCTCACTGGTTCTGTTGAACTGTTTAAAGATGCATCCTGGTGGCTTCAGCTGAAGTTTTTTCTAAACTTATACATTCTGAACTTTCTTCAGCTCTGAACACATGATGAAACTTTCAGTGATTTCAAGAAGAAACTCTCCTAAGCTTACATCTTTTATTTATTCAGATTGTGGCGCTGCAATTTGTCAGAGATCAGCTGTGATTCTCTGGTCTCAGCTCTGAAGTCCAACCCCTCCCATCTGGAACATCTGGACCTGAGAGGAAATTACCTGCAGGATTCAAATATGAAACAGCTGTATGATCTTGTGGAGAGTCCACACTGCTGCCTGCAGACTGTGAGGTCAGTAGAAGTTGCTTCTTTCCTTGGTGAAGCTGTGAGAGCAGAATCATGACAGACTTCTGATTGAGCAGAAACACAGAGGCAGCAGTCAGCCAATCAGATGAGCCAGAAGCTTGTTGTCATTGTGTGTTTGAGTTGATGTGAAGCCGACTGTTGTTGTGTTGATGTGTTAAATAAAGCTGATTCCAGCTGACAGCCTTCCAGATGTCCAGAGACAGTGGTCCTCCCCCATCAAAGTGTCGTCACATCACATCTGATCTCACTGTTTGTTGTCTCATTTCAACAGCGATCAGCTGATCAGTTTAATGTTTGGCACAGCTCTGAGATCAGTGTGACTGAAGCCTGCAAACCAGCAGCTCTTGTTTCAGAGAAGCATCATTATATCTAGTCATCATGTGGTCCAGCAGTCACATCTGGATCTGTGTCCTTATGTCCTTGCTTTCATCCAGATGTGTTGACTGACAGCCTCCATGTTGGTTTGTCAGCTAGTGTTTGAGGAACAGATGAGGTACTGATGGACTCACTGTTGATTTAAATCATTTTACTCAGTAAATCATGAGTGAAGAGTTTGTACAGTCATGAAGCTGCTCATGACTCTCAGCAGTTTGTTTCCACTGTGGACTGCAGTGAAATGTGCAGAAACACACCTGATGCTGACAGTGTGTGCAGGTGTGTGAGCTCAGTGTGTTCACTCCAACATGTTAACAGGAAGCTGCTGCTCTGAACAGGACTGAAGTCCTGCTGCTGTTTAAACTGATGAGCTGCAGATCAAACTCACTGATCTCCTCTGTTCTTTCTTCTTCTCTCTGCAGCTGGAAGTTGTGATGATCAGAACGGTCTTTGTGCTGAGAGGATGAACTGTGTCCTGATGATCCACAGAGGTTGAAGCAGCAGCAGTTTGTGTGAAGAGATTCTGACTGGGCCTTGATACTGGGAGGTGGACTGGGAACCAGTGTAAAGTGTGTTGTTATCACTGTATAGTTTAGTGTTACAGCTCCACAGTGTGAATGATGGAGAAGTGCAGTTAATGTTGACAAGTGGAGGTTAGTGTCAGACTGCAGAGGGCAGCCTGCATGTGCAGAGTGTGCAGGAAGTTTCAGGATGTTTCCGTCAATGCAGGATTATATTTCAGTTCACTTTCTATTTCTAGCTGCAGTCAAAGTTGTTGAGCTTCTCTACCTGCAACACTTTGAACTGATGTGAACAAAGCATCCTGGAAACATGTCGTTTACACAGTTTAGTGAAAAAAGATCCAGAAATATGAGGGTATTATTGTAGCAAAACTATGTGT